GCCCGGCAGCCCCGGCCCCGGGAGCCTTGGCCGGGCCCCGTCGCCGCTGTGTAAACCCAGGCTGAGGCCGCCGGCGCCGTGGAGCCTCTCCCGGCCCTTCCCTGGCCTTGTCGTGGTGTGGAAGGTGCCAGCCTGTAACGGTGCAGAGACCGCTCTTGCTCCCTGGCTGTGATTAACTGAAGTATTCCTATAAAGTCAGTTTTTGCTTGATGATACTCCGGGTATGATGTTTTCAGGCTTTATTCCCTCTTGATTTAACTGTAAAGGGTAATTCGAAACACGGCGGGAAGAAATGCAAACAGTTGCATGTCAATGGAAGGAGACAATAGTCCAAGATAAGAGGACAGATTTCAATCAAATTAGACCTAACACTTTATTTTTTAAAAAATTATTTACCCGGGGGGGGACGACACTTTTAAGCTTTCCCAGCTTTAAAGTTCCTCTGAACATTGGACTCATCCAATCATTGTATCCACTTCATTTATTTGCTTTCAGATGATACAGGATTGAGAGTCATTACACATATCTGTAGAGTTCTCAGCAATTCCGATCCAAGGATACATCACTTCTGCAAACAAAACAGGCGTGATTTTATGTTACTCTTTGGAGTATGGCTCTTGAGAAAACAGTGCTGACTTCAGAGTTTTTTGCTGCACCCTAATGCAACATTAACATAAAAGTTGTTCAGGGAACATTCTGCCATAATTAACTCAAAAACTGGCATGTAGTACAAGACCTGACCTGCAACCCATTTGTTCTTTAGTATGTATTTAATGTGTAAGTTATTTATTAAGAATAAAAAATAATGATGTTTTCTTCCTGCTTTGGGGGTTACTTTAGCAGTTACCTTCTAAGAATTGACAAATAAAATGTTTCACAGATCTTGCTAGATCAAGGCCCACAAGTGAAAGCTACATGTCCCAGCAATTTCAATGCCACTTATAGATAACTATGCTACGGATAGTATTCTTTTCTCTACTTGTGTCCTTTAAATAGGATCCCTGTTACAGATTCTGGACCTGTAAGCTTTTTGTAACGCATCTTGGCCTTAAGTAGCAGCACCTTTTATAGAATACACAAGAAACATAATGTAATATGAACTACATCTATCAGCTAAAGTTAAAATGAAACCTGCAAGGTCATGAGTGGAGCTTTGCTTGGTCTTACCAAGATGAATTTAAATTAGACCTGTTGCTGTTAGAATACAAAAATGAGGTAATTTCAGTTGTGTCAGTCAAAACAGTGATAAATCCGTAAATGATGCATTCTATCATTAGCATTAATATGGATGTTGAAACTATATTTATGTTCTTTTTATTTGTTCATCGTTGCTATTTGCCAAAGGGAAGCTTAATTAGTTTCAGCCTAGGCAGCCTAAGCCATCTGTCATCCTTGTAAAAGTTGACCCGCATCCTGAAGTAACGCCATTTAACTTTGGTGTCAGTCTGGTGCAGCCATGTGGAAATCCTGGTTCATTTGAGAAGTGCATGATTCATTGAATTACATAATAAAGTCAGGGCAAAGTTATCTGTATTACTTGGTTTTCATTATATTCAGTATCTATTACGCTGTGCTAAAGTTTTTAGTGCAGTGCAGAATTTTATACTGGAAACAAATAACTGTTGCATTGATTTGTTCACATGAATAAGTTGGGCCTGCAAATGGGGCTACCTTTGTATCAAGAAGAACTGAAAGTTCAGAGCCACCAGATCTCTCTCACAGCTAATGTGGAGGGCTGCTGTGAGTTCAGACCCTTGGACTGAAGTCATCTGGAGCTGGACTGTGCCCTCTCTGTTGCTGAGTTTCAAGAAGGCAAAGACACTATCTTCATTCCCTTTCCATTCACTTTTATATTTTTTTTCCTTATTCTGTGTTTGACTTTATCCCTGACACAAATCTGTGTTGCTAAGGTTCTGGAGATGGAAGGGATTTGGAAAGAGGAACCTTTCAAGACCCCATCCAGTAATTTAGGTACAGTTCTTTATGCCCATCACTTCAGGTGATCCGACCACAATGAGTGTGTCCTTGAAAAGGACTTATAAAACGGTATTAATAGAGTATGATAAGAAGGTAAGTTCACAGCGATACAGTACTTGGAAGGAGAAGGTGCTCTGAACATGTATTTTAGCAGTGTTCCTGTTTAACTTGTTTG